CATTTTGGGATGAAATACAGTCCAAGCTATAATACCCCGATATTTATGGACTAGTACCATACAAGCTACCATATGACCATGATAGTATGAGGTATAAAGTGTATCAAATAAGTAGAATTTTAAGTAATTTGAGACAATTCTTAATTATGCGGGTAATTGATTAATTATCGGATAACGGGACATTACCTAATTAACTAATAAGTTTGATAAAGATTAAAATTCTCACCCCCACCCCACGTGGCAGCAAGCCACATATTATACATATGACTCTTAGTCATACTAGCTTAGGTTGGCATTAAATGATGTACATAAGACAACAAGACAATCAAGTGTAAGACATTTTGAGTTGGTTTCATTTATACAAGTTTAGGTAGAACCAATTAATAGAATGAAAACAAATCTCTGTTGTAGATATAAGTCAATTTTTTTAATATTTCTTTATGTGTTAGGCTAATGGTGAGTTGTATTGATAGTTTTTGGGTTTGGAGGAAATATAAGGGTCAAGTTGCATTAGGATAATGTTTTAGCTAGGGGTGGAGATTGGTGGTTTTTGAGGATTCTAGGCTATACTTTCTGGATTTTCTAGTGGGGACTTTATTGTTCTCTTGGCTCTTAAATTATGTTGTTTGGACTGTATATGATGCTTTAGGCTTTGATATATGTTGAGTTGTGCACTTAGGCTGTGACGAGACTAAAGGATTCTGAGAATAGAATTTTCGTTGTGGTGATGTTTGTTATGGGGGTTAGACCGTATGGATCTCAATTTGGCAAAGATGTGTGTTGGAGGGATTGTCAAGGGATTGTCAAGAAAATCAGCCCAGGTATGTTAAGGCTATCCCTTCTTTATTTTTGGTATGATCTATACGACATGAAAGAAACGAGCAAATGCACAACTTCCATGAATGACTCTATTCATAGAAATACTAGAGATGCTTATGTTCTTGATTCCCCATGTGTCATATTATTTTATCATCTATTCATGGGTCTCAAAAATACGTAAGTTGGTAAAAGTTTATTTCATGATATTAATCAGAGCCATAATGGTATTATGACGTACCAAGAGATTTTATTTAACGTATTTCATATGCATTTATGCATGCACATTGACTAATGACCAGATGGCGTTATATACGCGTATATATATATATGCATATGGGATATTGGAAAGGTTATGGCGTTATATATGCACCACCACCTGATCAGCTGGTATACGTTGATGATTTTTCCCACAGTGGCCGAGATGATATGATGGGATGCCCTCGGAGGCCTGATGATGTTATGAAACATGTACCTATGCACGACATGACATTCATACGCATATGCATGACACTATTATTATTTCATGATTTACAGAGTTATCCAGACTTACAGGTTGAGTCATTTACTCTATATTTCTTCCACGCCTGTTATGTACTTATCTACGTGCCATACATACTCGGTACATTATTCGTACTGACGTCCCTTTTGCCTGGGGACGCTGCATTTCATGCCCGCAGGTCCCGATAGACAGGTCGAGAGTCCTCTAAGTAGGCTATCAGCTCAGCGGACGATGTTGGTGCGCTCCATTTGCTCCGGAGTTACTTGTTTGGTCAATATGATTTAGACGCGTATTGTTTGGTATGGTGGGGTCATGTCCCGACCTTTATGTTAAGGTGTACTCTTAGAGGCTTGTAGACAGATGTCACGTATACGAATGCTTGTATGGACTTAACAACATATGTTTTGAGTATATGAAAGATCCTGTCGGCCTTATAGACCCGTACGTCATATGCATAAGTTTGGATTACATGTTAGGGCGTCCTATGTCGAGTATTTTCCCCATGTTTCATTATACTTATCACGACAGCCTCTCTGGCTCATTTACCTATGGTAGTATGATACGAAAGATACGCTGCGTAGGTACTCGATTGAGTAAGGTACCGGGTGCCCGTTGCGGCCCATCGGTTTGGGTCATGACACCTACCGCAGACGAAAATAATACCTATGATAACGTCATCTGAGGCCAATGCATCTGGTCTGGCCGGAAAAGCATAGAATCTGGCTGGAGCACCTACTGGATAGCCTCCATTTGACTGGCCTCCACCTCTAGGACGGCCCCTACCAGTCTGCCCTCCGCCTCTGGGCGGCCGAACAGCTAGTGTTGTAATCATGGGCTGCTGACCCTGCTGCACTGCCTTGCCCCGAAATTTGGGGCAGTATCTCCTCATATGACCAAGATCTCCGCACTCGAAACAACCCCTCGATGCGGTGCCCTGCTGCTCTAATGTCTGACCCTGATGGCCTATAGACCCACTGGAAGAAGCCTGAATAGCCGGTGGGCGGTATGAACACTCTAGTATAGCACTAAAGTAGGAGCTGGAAGAACATTGGGGAACTAAATACCCACTGGAAGAACCTTGGACGGCAGGCGGGCGGTAAGAACTCTCTAGTATGGCGCTGAAATAGGGGCGCACTGGAGCACCTTGAGGAGGTGGTGCTGCTGAATATTAGGGCCTGCTGGGCTGACCCTTCCCATAGACCTCTGCCCCTAGCCGGAGCACCTCTAAACTCTACATATTATCGAGCCCTCTAGTCCTGCTGCATCTGCTCTCTACCCCTCAGACGGTAGCCCTTAATCCTCCGAGAAATCTCCACTAACAGCTAATAAGGAGTCCCCATCTTGACCTCTCGGCCCACGTTGGCCCTAATACCAGAGTGCAACCATGCGACAAACCTCCGCACTCTCTCTACATCAGTAGAAAGTATCATCAGTGCATGGCGAGACAACTCAGAAAACCTCGCCTCATAGTCGATCACTGACATCTGACCCTGCTCAAGCTGCTCAACTGGTACCATAACTCTTCCCTCTCAGAGGGTGGAATATACCTATCTAGGAAAAGCTGTGTCAACTGATCCCAAGTAATGGGACGAGAATCCTCTAGCCTGCCAAGAACATAAAACTGCCACCATCTACGGGCCCTGCCCTGCAGCTGGAAAGTAGTGAAGTCAACCCCATAGGACTCCAATATCCTCATGTTGTGCAGCCTGTCCCTACACCTATCAATAAAATCCTGGGCATCCTCGTGATGCTCACCTCCGAAGATAGGAGGGTGGAGCCTAGTCCATCTATCCAATAACTTTTGCAGTTCGCCATCCGCAACTGGTCTGGGCTCGGGTACCACTACGTCAACTGGCTGGGCCCCATCCGCGGGTAGTGTGCCCGGAGTCTCATACACTGCGGCTGCATGTCCAGGAGCCTGAGCAGTAGGGGTCTGTACTCCCCCTGACGCATGTGGTTGGGTCTGCTGGAAATAAAGTAGCCTCGGTCATAGAATCCATGAACCGCAGCATACAGCCCATGACCTCCTGTAATCCCAGTGCTGTCATGAAGTCCGCCAAGGTAGGCTCTGCTGGGGGCACCTCGCCGTGCTCCTCAGTAATCGGATCCCCCACAGGATCTACCGGTGGTGCAACTGGGGCAGCTTTAGGACACCTTCGTCCCCTACCTCGGGCCGGTGCCCTCCCCCGGCCTCTAGCAACCGGGGGAGCGGCTCCTCCCGGGTCTGGAATGTCCGCCGTGCACGTCCTCACCATCAGTGAGAGAAAAGAAGAAGGGAATTTAGTATACCATCAATTGCACGATAGAATATGAATGAAGAGTAGTTTTCTAACACCCTATAGCCTCTCAAAGATAAGTACAGACGTCTCCGTACCGATCCGCAAGACTCTATTATGTTTTTCCATGACTTGTGAGACCTACGTGAACCTAGTGATCTGATACCATGTTGTCACGACCCAATTTCCATTATAGGTCGTGATGGCGCCAACACCGTTATTAGGCAAGCCAACCTAATCAACTAGTGAGTTCTCATTCTTTTAAATAAACACTCTCGACATTTACTTAACTTAAATTCAAAACAATCGATAATTAACAAATTATAAGGCGACTGAATCGGGAAAGACTAAAGGGGACCATAACAATATGAACAACCCAAAAATAATAGTCTGCTACTGTGTGTGCCAGGAAATAGTATCACAGGTACGAGGGCAACTAGTATAATGGACAAAAATATAACTATCCTACTGCCTGGAATAGAATAGACAGAAATAACAAAAGGAGAGACTCTGGCATGCTGCTGAATGGCTCAGAAGGGGGCAGCTCACGGGTAGCTAGATGCACCTGCCTCAGATCCTGTACAATTAAGTACAGAAGCGTAGTATGAGTACATAAACAATATGTACCCAATAAGTATCCAGTCTAGCCTCAAAGAAGTAATGACGAGGGGTCGACTTGACACTTACTAGGGTCAATGATAATATAATTTAAGTGTTACGCTAAGAATGAATAGCATGAATAATAATGACAGTTTAAGATCATGGAGAAGTAAGATACTCTTTCATAAACAACATGTCAAGTTTCAATCATATCATGTAACAACTTACATTCAAGCATTTAAGGAGTGTAAATCACGGGAAGTTTCCAAATAAATAACATGTGCACATTATGTCGAGGTCGTACGGTCCGGTCCAACATAATATTAAACTATGCACTACCAGAGGGTCGAATGGTGCGAACCATAGATGCATCTATTTACTGTAGACATGTGATTTTTGACCCTCCCCAAAATTTTTCATATTTTAGCACGTAAATATTTAATTTAGGCCTAATATAGCTATTTCAACTAATTTTTACTCTTTTACTTTATTTTATTACAAGAAAAATAAAAATTACAAAAATTGTTCCATTAATATTTTGTAGTCATTTTTAGTCTTGAAAAATACCAAAAAATAGTTTATTTTAACGATCAGTCTTATTATAACAGTTATTTTACTTAAGTAGGGCTAATTAATAAATGAGATCGTATTTTAGTCCCGTTCGCGGGGAAAGAATAAAACCTGGGCTCGAGCAATCCATTTTTTAGGCCTAATTTTGGATCTAGCCCATAATTCCTAGGCCCATACCCCTAACCTAATCCCTACCCCTATATAATAGTACCTAATCCCTAAATTGACCTACACCAAAAATCCATGGAATCCGCCGTTTTCCTTCATCCGCCATTTCTCTGAAGATCAAAAGGAAAATCTACCCAAAAAAAAGACATTACAAAAAGACAAAATACAAAGCAGCAAAAAGACTCTAGACCCGAGAATGAAGAGACAGTAGATTAACGCCTAAGGAAAAGGGCTGGAAAAACACCGCCGTAACTTCTTCTTCCACCCAACTTAGCTTCTTTTTCCTCCATCCCAGAAAAATACAGCAGCTTCACCACCTTTAAACCACCAATAAAACTCCATTTTTGTCCAAGAGAGTAACCTGAAAACTCCATGAAAACTAGCTAAGATTCCAGCTCAAACACCATACCGGAACAACCTCCTAAAAAACGCAGCAAAGACCAGCTGCAAATAGCCCACAAAGCCAGCTGAAAAAGCAGCTGCAAAATCAGCGAAAACACTTGAAACAATTCCCAAAAAATGCAGCTGCGTCACACCTTGAAACAGTCCGAATTTTCAGCCAGAAACACAAACAAAATCAGCTTGAGAAACCCCACGAAAACAGCCCTCTTTCATTCCTATTAGCGTCGAGTTCGAGTTCGCCGATGAGGTTTCCGGTCGTGAGTCTGTTGCGGTTTGTAGCTGTTGTTTAAACTTCTATGGAGTTCCTCTATTATGTTAAAGATGGTTTTACATTAATGAAGTTCGGGTTCGAGGTTCCGCTCAAGGAATCCGCTCGTAGGTCCGATTGGTAGTAGCTCGTTTCATTTTTGGGAAAAGCTCCTTTTGAGGTCCAGTTTCTATTCTCTCTTTATTCTTTCTTGCAAAAGTATATTTTGGTTGGAATCATAATTCAATTTTGATTAAGTCATTCTCTGTTATTGCTTTTTGATTCCCTTTATTTGCAAAATACTTTGTCATGTTTGAGTTTTAAATGCTTATTTTTTATTCCCTTTATTTGTAGTATACTTTGTTATGTTTTGAGCTTTAAATGCTTCTGATAAAGTCATGCGAGAATTTATCAAAGACTGTGTATTACTAATCTATACTATATTAAAAAGCACGAAGGTCCTTAGCGAAATGTCGTTCGCCTTTACCCTTTTAAAATAAGTTTCACATTGGACAAATATGTAATTTTAGTTACTTTCTTAATATTTAGCACTTTAAAATCGAGTGAAAATTTAATTATGACCTAATATTTAGGAGTTCGTGTAAAAATCACAAGATTGAGAGGAAATAGTATTGAAGAATCGTGTGTTTTCACATGTATTACAAAGCCATAAGTGACTGAATTAAGTCACAACTCACAAAACAATTAAAAACTAGGCTAAGTATGCTAAGTGATAACTACTACAAATGACTTAGAGTTCTACTACATATATGACTATTACATTGAATTAAGTACAAACTCTACAATGCAATCTAACTATCCTTATCTCGTTCAAGCTTATCCTTATCATGATCAACTTCTTCAATAGTTCGAAATCAACTAAATAAGGATAAAATATATTAAGAAAAAAGAAGAGAATATAAAAAGTAAAAGTTAAGTTTATTTTCAACCATGGACAAAATTTATTGCATTAAGGTCTTTAACGTAGATATTATTTTAGGAAATAGGAATAATATTAACATTTTCTTTTCCTTGTATATCTGACGAATTTCAATGGAAATATGTTCACATTCATGCTTCTTAGTGGGGAACTTACAATTCTAACGAGATGTACTATTAAAAGTAAGAGATTTTATACCTAACTAAATATATATTTTAATTATTAAGTGTAGTTTTTAAATATTACACGAATAATATATTGTTTGAGTAGGAAAAATAAGTACAAAATAATTTATTTCTTCTATACGATCACAAAAGCATGAATTCTCAACAAATAACTAAGTCTTTGAATTAATAAATTAGTAAAAAAAACTAATTCATTTTTTTTTTCAAAATCATTAGGTAAGTAAAATTATTTATCAAGTTGATAACACTCTTAAGATACATAAATTTATTCACAAAAAGAGCACCAGCCATGAAAGAAATAAAAAAAAGTAGAGCAAAAATTTATTATAATATAGTATTAAAAGTTAAATTGCTAAAAATGCTAAGTTTGAAGCATTAAGAATGTAACATAAGATAAAAGCTATTCAAAAGAAGTTATTATTATTATTTTTCTTTAAATGATAGCTTTCTATAATTTTAGTATAGTATGACATTGTTTTTTATAATTCAATATTAGTTATTTAAAACTTTATATTGTTATTTATCAATATTTTTATAGGAGCTATAGTTCTACCTCATCACTCACAAATTTCTAAAAGATCAAAAGATTCAAAATCTTAATTTATTTTGTTATCTTTAAATAATTATGGTAAAATTTCTTTTTTATATTTTATTTGTTTATAGTATTTGGTAATAAAGATAACAATAATGTTTAGAAGATATTTTACTCCTCATAAATCATAATAAGGTATATAAAAATTTATGTGGAGTAGATTCTTTGTTTTTTTGAGCTAGCTTAGTGAGATTAACATTCATTAATTTTAGGAACTTACATTTTTTCAATATTTAACTCAAACACATTATTTAATAATATTTACGTAATTTTTAAAAATTAAATATTTGTTGTTATAGGTACACGCGCAAAGCGCGTACCCTAAGAATAGTTTGGATTTAAAAGTGAGGAGTTTGGTTTAGTGGTAATTGCAGAAGGCTTGGGGCATTTGCATCTATACCCGCTTTTTATGTCACATTTTAACCTGTGCCCGCTTTGCAAAAAAAATTGCAAGCGTTCCCGCTTTTTCACATAACTTCAGCATGCGGGGCTGAAGTAGCAAAGGCAATCACACAAAACTTCAGCATTTTAGTAGCCGGGCCTGAAGTTCAGCTCTAGAGCTGAAGTTTTTGTTTTCTAACTCGCGAACTTCAGCTCTAGAGCTGAAGTTTTATTTTATAAGTTTTTGTTTAGTAACCGAAAACTTCAGCTCTAGAGCCGAAGTTTGCCAGTTATAAAATAAAAACTTCAGCTCTAGAGCTGAAGTTTTATTTTATAAGTTTTTCTTTTGTAACTAGAAAACTTCAGCTCTAGAGCTGAAGTTTTTGTCTTTGTAACCGGAAAACTTCAGCTATAGAGCTGAAGTTATTTAGTTCATCGTATGTTTACTACCCCAAATAACACTCTTTTCACATAACTTCAGTTATAGTTCTATTTAATTACTACTAATTATTTCCCCACAAACTACAGAACCTTCAATTTACTACATTAGCAACAACTGTAGTATTCTACGCAAGGCAAAGAAGAAAGAAGAAGATGCATTCTGTGAAGGAGAAAGTAAGCAACGCAGTGGAGAAAGCAGCAGCAAGGACAAAGGAAGAGGTAAGCAACGAAACGGAGAAAGGGAGCTGAAGTTTTGTAAAAAGTGGGTACAAGTTAAAAGTTTTTAAAAAAATGGGTATAAGTTAAATGGGGGCGACCAAATAGGACGCCCCGTGCAATTTCTACAGAAGGCTTGGATTATATTTGGGCCTTATTGATATATTCTACTGCTGGCCCATTTCTTTATTAATTAGTTAGCCCAAGTTCTTCGAATGTCTATGCATGCTCCAAACATATTTGGTCAACTTAATCTACTTAGAATACTTTGTCCAAATAATTCCATGAAATTTTGAGCCTCACGATAATCTCAAAGATTAGGGACATAATTCAAATGCGCTATGTGCTTTAGGCGCGACTTAGTCTATTATCGTGATTATGTATATGTTCGCGTAACATAATTATGATTATTTTTAAAAAATAAATAAATCGAGGTATGCGTTCACGCAACTTCAACCAAACTTTTCTTAATAAAATAAACAAAGCGTTATTAATTGTGGACACGTTCGCGTGACATGATTTTTGACGCGCCAAAAGGAAAGAGTATACGTAGGCGTAACTCAATTCTTTAATTATGAATAATTCAAGTGATTAAAAGCAATTAAAGAGATAATTGCACATAAGTCCTAAAAATGAGTAGTTAAACAATTAAGCCAAGTATAAATTGCTAAGCGACCGTGCTAGAACCACGGAACCCGGGAATGCCTAACACCTTCTCCGGGGTTAACAGAATTCCTTATTCAGAATTTCTGGTTCGCAGATTTCAAAAGGTAAGTCGGAATTTCCTCGGTGTGGGATTTAAAATAAACCGGTGACTTGGGACACCAAATAAATAAACTATCCCAAGTGGCGACTCTGAATTAAATAAATAATCCCACTTCGAATAATGTCACTTAAAGTGGAAAAACTCCCTTATATACTATCCTTCGGGGTGGTGTGTAAAAAAGGAGGTGTGACATTTACTACCGAGGCGCTCGGCCTGATCCACAAATAACAATTTATTATTTTTGCGCCCCCTTTTTCCCGCTTTTGACGGGGAAGTCCGGGTTTTGACATTCATGGGGGTGATAACTCATTTCCTTTTGGGAATTGGGTATTTTGGAGAGTCGCCACCTAACAGATTATGATGCGTTTGGGCACCTATAGTGATTAACTCTTGGGTTTGCATTACCAGAGATTAGGGTAAGTGCTCGAAGTAACCTCGAGGGGAAGGTGTTAGGCACCCCAATTTGCCCACAACTGTGGGTCCCGGCCAAACTTATATTCACGAATTAGTCCATTACAAGTAAACAGTTGAATCAAATAGGTTGCAAGTAAAACACGTTAGATAACTCAAGTAATAAGATTTAGACAAATTGTAAAACAAAGGTTTTAAATAAAAAAAGGAATTTTGGTAAAGGAGGGATCCTAGGTTGGTTATCCTGTAGGATCACCCCACACAATGTCCGGTAAACACTCCTCAATGAGGGGCTACACGTGACATTAGCGCGTAGTCATCATATCCCATATCTACCCTTCCCATCCCCTTATTGGTCATGCAAAGCGAGTGTTTTGTCAACGATTTCTATTGTGTGCCGCTACCCGTCCCTTCTTAATGGTCCTGGAGGGATTTAGGACCTCTACCTATAGGTGGTTCTAGACGTACCCCTAAGGTTTTAAAAGGTTAAGATTCTAAGGCGACAATCAAAACACTTAGGACTTTCAGCACATAAAAGGGGCAATTAGAGGCTCAGAGTTTCCTCCTCAAACAAACACATAAGCAACACGACTCAAGCACAGTTAAGATCTTTTATTAGATAATGTCCTAAGGCAGGATATCTAGTTGAATATGCAGAAGACAAACAACCTCTTTTAGACTCAGAAGTTATAACCCTAGCAGTTGCCTTTGGATTTTTTAAAGCCTGTTAGGATCTGAAAACATTAAGCAATAGAAACAGTTTCAGAGATGCAGTTTTGAAGACGCCCTAAGGGCTTGCCTATACGCGGAGTGCTGATTAGCACATTTGTATAGAAACAAAGCAGGTTTTGAAACAGACTTCTTTAATACCTATAGGCATGATATCTAATGAGATTGAGGCAGTTTGAAAGAACTTGTTTCAGGATATATGAACATGAAGTCCTAGGAGCATGATTTCTACTTAGTAGAGCAAACAGATTTAAAAGTAAAGTCCTATGAGCATGATTTCTACCCGAATTATCCCATAAAACATGTATCTACCCACCCTTTTCACTAAATACCCTAATATCTGTTTACAAGTTATTACAGACCAATGAATGAATTACATAAGTAAATAAAAAAATCAAGAAACAATTCTATAGGGAGCCTCCGATTAGGCCCAGATTTCCCAAAGCCTCCAATGGCCTCATATGACTCAATTCCATAGACAAAGTCAGAGTCTAGGTGCATCAAAGTTCCCTAAGGATCTCAAGGATCCCGGGCAGTGCTTACACCTAGACTTAGTAACCAAGAATTGACCAAGTGCAGTGTGGAAAGGCCAGCCTCAGTATGCCAGAGTTCAGAGGGTTCTCAAGAGGATCCCAAGGCAGTACACATACTAGAGGGGGCAGAACTTATTGACTAAGAGTAGAGTGAAAGTGATTGACACAAGTTGAAAGGTTTTAGTAAAAATTGTATTGAAACAAAAGTCTGTTTGAAAGTAATTTAGTAAAGCAATGGAGACTGTTTGAAAAGAGATTGAATAAATGAACAGAAGTCCCAAACATCTTAGGATGGGTTTATACATAGACAATTCATAGAACCAAGTAAACTCAGTAGTCACACACAGGTGTCAAGGGGTTTGGGATACATAGAACACTTGACTGCAAACACATAACCCAGCAAAGGTCTAGGACTGGTTTAGACATGCTCAAAAATAGCTGACCAGGCATAGTCACAAAACCAGACCCAAAGAACAAGATCATTTACAGGGGTGATAGGGATATAGGTGGTTCATGGAGCACATCATGGCAAGCACACAGCAAGTAAGGGATAATTGGTAAGACATGATCAGAAACACATATAAATGAATATATACTGATCTCAAGGAAGGGGAAGATATGATAACATGCTAATAATATAACCCTCAACTACAAGTTTCACAACAAAACCACAAATAGAAGCAAACTAGAAACAAGATGAACTGAAACAATAAGAGAATCATATGGCTGTTGGGAACTTTGAATTGAAACTAGGACATACCTGTAAAGAGGATAGTGAGCAGAATGAAAGAACAAGAGTACACCAATGGTTAGCCTTGGCTTGCAGCCGGCTATCTTAGAGCAGTAGCAAGTAGCACAAGAGAGAGAGCAGAAATTTTTAAGTATGAGAGATAGTTTTGAACCAAGTGTTCGTGTCTGTATGTGTTAATGAGAGAGAATATATATAGTTTGAAACTAGGTAGAATAATAAGGTTAGAATCAAAGTCAAGCAGTAATTATGGAACTAGGTATCAATTAGTATAAAATTAGTAGAAGTACTCCCTTAATTAAGGGAGTTAATTTCAAACGGTAAAGACAAATAAGGAAAGAGGTCACATAAGATATGGAATGTAACACACAAGGAAATAATTTCAACATAGTGCAAGTATAGAACATGTAATTACTGATTTAGGGGGGGAAATTATCACAAATTTCTATGAACAAACGGAATAAACACACAATAGGCAAGAAGAGGCAAAAATCAGAAACCCTAATAGCATAGTAGGGTAAAAATCACACAAAATTAGGGATTCATGAGAAACAAGCAAGCATATAGATTAGACGAACAAATCATCCAATACAGACTCAGAACCCAGGGTTAAGACCAAGAACTAAGGTTTTCAACATAGACGAGTTGAGAAAGGAGAAAAACACAGAACCAGTCGAGATATGCAAAGGATAGAGGTTTAAACTTGAAGAATCGACTTAAACAGAGTGTAGAAAAAGTTCCGAAAATCCTAACTTATAAAAGAAAGTAAAACAACTCGCAATCGATGATTTTTTGCAAAAGAGGTTTGAGAACAGTGTCAAACATAGAAAGAACAGACTCGAATCGTTAAAAAATAGCCCAGATCTAAGAGATACAAACAAAAATTAGGGTTTCAAAAGAAACCCAAATAGAGATGGAAGAACCTGCTTAAAACTTCAAAGATCGTAGAAAATATAGTGTGACTTTGCCCAAAATCACATCGGAGTAGCCATGAACAGCCAAAACAGTAACCCTAGATACAAGTCGGCGTGGCTCAGGGCCCTTGAAGGCCTCAGAGAGGATGAGCAAGGCAATGGTGGAACCATTGGAGGCTTGGGTTTGAAGGATGGTCGCCGGAGAAGACCGGAGAAGGGAGGCGGTTGAAAAGGGTTTAGGGTTAGGTTGAGAGAAGAGAGGAGATGAGAGCATCTGAGGGCGGTGGGCTGTAAGGAAAATGACTAGGGTTAGGGGTCGTTTGAGTTAAAAAAGGAAAGGGATCGTATGGACCGTTGATCTGGGAGATCAACGGCTAGGATTTGCTCGGGTAGATGGGTTCCGGGTTTGGGTAAGTGTATATAGGGTTTGGGTCGGGTAATTTGGTAGGAAATTGGGCTGGCGTTGGGTTCAATTTAGGCTACAATTGAAAGCCAAATCTGGCTATAATTTAAATAGCCAATTTTTCCTATTTGAATTTATAATACATAATAACAAACTCTACAAAATAAATTTGTGTACCAAAATAATTTAAAATATATATCTATCATTTTAAAAATATATGGACCAATTTTACGCATATAAAAATGTAATTATCCATTAAATGGGCTAACATTGCAATTATATGCAATTTAGTTTAAAAAATACCAAATGCGATTATAAAAATGCATACAAATATGTTAACCATATTTTGGCGTAAGTATAGAAATTAAATGAATAAATCATCATAACAATAATTTGCGAAATGATTATTGGGGATTGTATGAATATAAGGGAAGGAAATAAATCAATTTAAATCCTTAAAATTATGGGAAAAATTATAAAAATCTTGTGCATGCTTATA